TACTTTCTGGTGCTTTCACTTCCAGAGACAGTTGTAAGCACTGTGTAACTGCCTCGAGGGTGCTTAACCATTTTAACACAAGGTGGTTCGATCATCCCCCTTGCGCGGAGCGAGGGTTCTCCATCCCGCACAACATGATCTACTCGACCACCATTATGGTTACCGCCAAACGGAGGGGGGGGGGGGGGGGGGGGGNTCGTTGCCAAGCGACGAAAACCCAACCCCGATGGCAAACACCGAGGGGGGGGACTTGTTTTACAACGTCGTTGCCAGTCGACGAAAACCCAACCCCGATGGCAAACACCTCGGGGGGGGCTTGGTTTACTACGTCGTTGCCAAGCGACGAAAACCGAACCCGATGGCAAACACCGGGGGGGGGTCCAATGATGGGAGAAAAAAAAACAACTACGCGAAGAACACAGCAGCCTCTTTGTCCTGTTTGCTCCGTTACTCCCATGCCCTGGTGCGTAGTGCCTGGTGCTGGTACGTTACCCTTTGATTTTTTCTTTGGGCGGGTGTGGGAAGCGTCCTCCTTCATTTTTGTGTTCGTTAATTTTGATCGGTTTCCGAGGGCTCTTTTCTCGAACGGTCGGTGCGGTACCTGTGTTTTGTCTTTATCATTTTGTTTTCTTTTACCGAGTGGTTTGTACCCTATTTTTGTTTGTTTCCCCGGTCGTCGTATGTGCCGGGTTTTGAGACCACGGGCTCCCCATTTTTTGTGGACTATAGAGCTAATGTGAGAAACCACAACAACAACAACAACAGAAGGCGCAAGAGAGTTGAACGAATGGCAGGAGGCGTGTTGGACGCAGGAGATGAAAACCGTGCCGCTGCTGTCTTTGACATGGTGCATTGATGCGTTGGAACTCAGAACTTTGCCTTTTTGAAGCTGGCTCTTCACTTTTTGGCTCTGCTTTTTCTTGGTAAGGCTACATGACTGACACGCTTGTGACCACGTACATCAGCTTCTTTTAGTTCAGCCTGGGCTTAGTACCAAATCAGGAGCAAATGCGCCGAGGACGTATTGGGAGGAGTATTGAATAATCTTGTGGATTCAAGACAAGGGAGCAGGATCGATAGAACATCCCCCCATGTGATGCTCCGTGCCCTCTGCTCTAAGGGTGCCTGTCGCAGTCCGACATTGCGGGCGCAGACGACGGGTGGTGGAAAAGAACATGCACTCGCATCCTTGCCTGCAGCGTCGTACATATGCGTTAGTTTGGGAACGTCTATGTGTGGCATGCCAGTCACTGCACGATTCTCGCTAGACAACCTCTTGCACAACGGCACAAAAGTCGTATCGTGGTAGCATACGTGGGTAACACTTCACACTTGGTCGTGCCCTCATGTTGTCACTAGCGCGAAGTTATTAGAGTCCTAGACTGCTGCTGTTCATTTTTGGCCTCGCCCGTGTTTTGCCGCGAGGGTTAGGGTCAGCTTGCAAGCGTAATACCATGTCCGCGTGCTGGTAAGTGGCACACACGTTACTGAACCTCACGCGGGCAATGCCTTTGGTTCTTTGCGATCCCGAAATTACTCCCTTGCCCCGGCGTCATTCGGGGGAAGGAACCTACCGACAAGCATCAAACGGTGTGTAAACCCTTGTCATGCCTTGTAGGCAAGAGGTGCTGAACCGTAGTGTTTGCACGGCAAGACTTCGGCAACGGCATGGCCATTCCGTGTACACGCTTTGGTCCTGCCAATGCGGCGCCTGCCGAATGAGAAAGTCACCGACGGGGCAATAAGTCTCTCCCAGCCCATTCTGTTGGCTATTGGTCTTCTTCGCTTGTGTGCCGAGGATGCTTCCCTGTTGTCACCCGAACCCTGAACTTGGTTGTACCCCTTATGATTCGTCTGCTGCTTGTCCTCACGCCTGTAACGCCCCCTTGCCAGGAGAAAGCGGGCGCAACCGCTGTTGCTGTGGACGTCTCCGCTCCCGCGAAAGCGGCAACTACTGATGCGGCGGCACCAGCAGCAGACGCCGAAGAAACCAAGGCAGAGACAGACCCGACGGCAACGGCAGAAGTAGTTCCCGAAACGGCACCAGCCGCCACGACTGCCGTCAAAATTGCCGTCAAAACTGCCGCTGCCGCTGCCCCGGCCGCTGCTTCGACTTCTGCCGCGGCCGATGCCGCTACCCCTTCCGGTGGCGAGGTTGCGCCGCCTGCAGATGCTGACCTAGCCGTCACCTCGGGTGCCGTCGGCGAGGCGGTTGCGGACAAGGCGCCGGCGGATGCGGACAAGGCGCCGGCGGATGCGGCCAAGGCGCCGGTGGACCAGGCGGTGGACGTGGCGGCCGCTGATGGCGCTGTGGAGGATGCGACGGCCACCGTGCCCAAGGCTGAGGTGTGTCCATGCCCTCCCTGGTCTTTGGTGTGTAGTTTGAGGGGGTGTTGCGATGTCTCGCGATGCGACGCGCGACGTGCTATGATGGTGTGTGCCAAAGAGTGGGCTTGTCTTTGTTGTAGACGAATCACGTGTTGTACTTACTCGTATCGGGTGGATCGGGCTAGTAACAGCGGAGGCGCACAAGCGTCTGCTCGACCACCCTAAGTGACTTATACATGTTGGTGATACTGCTGTAGGATGTCGGCACGGCGGTTGCTCCCAAGTAGGTAAACTTCACTTGACAAGTTACCCTTCGGCTGGAATGTTCATTGTACATTGTACATTGTATGTACACCTTGTCACCTCTTGTGAGAAATGCCAGCTTGGTGAGCTGGGACGGCCACCACACTCGTGTAGGACTTTTACCAGGAACTTGTTCGACTCAAATGGAACCCCATGTTGCTTTCTGTCAAGTGCATCTGACCTCAACCTTCCCCCCCACCTCGTAGGCTACTCCCGTTGAAGCTTCCGCCGCCGCCGCGGCCCCTGCCGCGGATGCTGCCGCTACTTCTGCTGTCCCTGCTGAAGTAGGGAAGGCTGCCGCTGATGCCGCTGATGCCACCGTGCCGGAGATGGCAGCCAGCGCCACCAGCGAGGTTGACGTAGCCTCGCCCGCCGTCGACGCGGCCGTACCCGCTCCATCCGCGGAACCCCCGTCCGTCGACGAGACACCCTCCGCCGCTGCCGTGCCGGTGGTAGCGGAAAATCCTGCCGTCGTCGAGACACCCTCCGTGGAAACCCCGGCTGCCGCTTCCAGCGGTGCAGTAGAGGTCCCAACCGCCGCCGCAGCCGTATCTTCTCTCGCTACGGCGGCTGTCGAGAAGGGTGCGCCAGAGACGGAGGCCGGCGAGCTGCCGTCTGTTTCAGACGTGGTGGCCAAGATGGAATCGACGAATGTTGGGTCCGACGGCACCGCCGCTGTAGCTGCCCCCGCGGCCGATGGCGACCTCGGTGTATCCGGTAAGTTTTTGTTTTTTTTGTTAGTGGTTTGAGTGCCGAGAAAATGGCCAACGGAATGTGCGGGTGAAGTCCCTTGTCGGGATAACGTAATCTGCTGTAGGTTTCGCGGAGGCGTGCCGACAAGTAGGCGAGGTGTTGGTTGGCTCCCTCGGTTCGTATGTTGGCCGTGTTGGTTCGTTTGACTCTCAAGGGGGAGGTGGAAGCCGAGTGCCGTTAGTTCGGTTGTGGCCATGGCCCTGAACTCGAAAGCCCTCAAGATCACTTGCTGCTTGTGTCACCTCTCCTTGTCGTCAATCAATGGATATGTGGGCGTGTAGCGTGCCTTTTGCTCTTGTTTGAGAACAGCACTCTCTCGCGGTTGCCGGTGGATGAGACATGCTGTGCACGCTGCCCACTGACCAATTTCTTCACCCCGTCCGCTTGGTTTGACGACCTTACTCCACAGGACCGACCGTCGATGCACCCTCCGGCGAGATGCCCGATGTTGCTGTTGACGCCCCCGGTGGTGAAGTCCCGGACGTGACCGCTCTGGCCGTGGACGTTGTGGCTGCGGTACCCGAAGCTCCTTCCGTATCTATCGAGACGCCGGCGGTTGACACACCGGCGGTGGAGGTGCCGTCTGCGTCTGCTGAGGTTCCGGCGGTCGACGCTCCGGCCGTGGAGGTTTCGGCACCGGCCGCCGAAGTTGCTTCCGCGTCTGTCAAGACCCCGGCTGTCGAGGTGCCGACTGTTGACACTCCGGCTGTTGGTACGCCAGCGGTGGAGGTGCCGTCTACGTCTGTTGAGGTCCCTGACGTGAGTGCTCCGGCCGTCGAGGTTGCGGCGGCGGTCGAAGCGCCTGCCGTGGCTGTCGCCACCCCGGCAGTGAACACTCCGGCAGTTGACGCACCGGCAGTGGAGGTGCCGTCTGCGTCTGTTGAGGTCCCGGACGCGACCGCCCCGGCGGTGGAGGTTGCGGCGGCGGCGGCAGCCGAGGTGCCTTCCGCTTCCGTCGAGATCCCGGCCGTTGAGACGCCATCTGTTGACACCCCGGCAGTCGATGTGCCGGCCGTCGGGGGTGATGTCCGGGCCATTGAGGTCCCGGGCGTGAGCGCTCCGGCCGGGGAGATTGCAGCGGCGGCAGAGATGCCTTCCGTTTCTGTCGAAACCCCGGCAGTCGATATGCCGGAGGTGTTGACTGTCGACACACCGGCTGTGGAGGTGCCGTCTGCATCTGTTGAGGTCCCCGGTGTGAGCGCTCCGACCGTGGAGGTTGCGGCTGTCGACACCTCGGCCGTGGACGTGCCGTCTGTTGACACCCCGGCAGTGGAGGTGAGTTGGGGCAGCCTCGTGGTTGTTCTCGTGTTACCCTGCTTGGTCTGGGCGTGTCGTTGCTTCTCTTCTCCAATAAACAACAAGAGCGATGATATATATTTTTTGTGCGCCTGTTGACATGAGCATTTCAGGCAGCTCATGCACAGGTCACTTGGAGTACATTGCTACACAAGTAGTGGCAATATATTTTTCAGCGTGAGCCTGTTGACATGAGCAATTCAGACAGCCCGTGCAGAGGGGTTCTTCGCTACATGCAGAACATGGAGCACGACGCTCGGACTGGAAATGAATAGATAGGTGGAGTGATCAACCATCATGGAGGACGTGCTTTCGTAGTGTCCTTTTTCCTAACCCCGTTGGCAGCAGTCATGTTGCGCCGTGACCCACCTCTTGTATCACCATCGCCACCGGCACCAGTACATGCCGAACCTCCAATAGTTACACCGCCATTCCTTGCTCCATCTTTCCCGTCTCAGGTCCCGGCTGTTAGCGTTGAAGCCCCGGCTGTTGAGGTGAAGGCACCGGAAATCCCGTCTGTCGGTGTTGAAGCGCCTGCTGTGGTGTTGGAGGCGCCGGAAATCCCGGCTGTGAGTGTGGAAACCCCTGCTGTTGAGGTGAAGGCGCCCGAAATCCCGGCTGTTGGTGTTGAAGCGCCTGCTGTGGAGAAGGCGCCGGAAGTGCCTGGTGCCAGCGTTGAAGCCCCGGCCCCTGCTGTTGACGTGAAGGCACCGGAAGTTCCGTCTGTCGGTGTTGAGGCGCCTGCTGTGAAGGTGAAGGCACCGGAAGTGCCTGGTGCCAGCGTTGAAGCCCCGGCCCCTGCTGTTGACGTGAAGGCACCGGAAGTTCCGTCTGTCGGTGTTGAGGCGCCTGCTGTGAAGGTGAAGGCACCGGAAGTGCCTGGTGCCAGCGTTGAAGCCCCGGCTGTTGACGTGAAGGCAGCACAAGTCCCTGATGTCAGTGTGGAAGCCCCGGCTGTTGACGTCAAGGCACCGGAAATCCCAGCTGTGAGTGTGGAAGCCCCTGCTGTTGACGTGAAGGCGCCGGAAGTCCCTAATGTCAGTGTGGGAGCCCCTGCTGTTGACGTGAAGGCACTAGAAGCCCCTGATGTCAGCGTTGAAGCGCCTGCTGTTGAGGTGAAGGCACTAGAAGTCCCTGATGTCAGCGTTGAAGCGCCTGCTGTTGAGGTGAAGGCGCCGGAAGTGCCTGGTGCCAGCGTTGAAGCCCCTGCTGTTGAGGTGAAGGCACCAGAAGTCTGTGATGTCAGTGTGGAAGCCCCTGCTGTTGACGTGACGGCACCGGAAATCCCCTCTGTTAGTGTGGAACCCCCTGTTGTTGACGTGAAGGCACTAGAAGTCCCTGATGTCAGCGTTGAAGCGCCTGCTGTTGAGGTGAAGGCGCCGGAAGTGCCTGGTGCCAGCGTTGAAGCTCCTGCTGTTGAGGTGAAGGCATCGGAAATCCCGACTGTGAGTGTTGAAGCCCCTGCTGTTGACGTGAAGGCACCGGAAATCCCCTCTGTTAGTGTGGAACCCCCTGTTGTTGACGTGAAGGCACTAGAAGTCCCTGATGTCAGCGTTGAAGCGCCTGCTGTTGAGGTGAAGGCGCCGGAAGTGCCTGGTGCCAGCGTTGAAGCTCCTGCTGTTGAGGTGANGTTGACGTGAAGGCGCCGGAAGTCCCTAATGTCAGTGTGGGAGCCCCTGCTGTTGACGTGAAGGTACCGGAAATCCCGGCTGTGAGCATGGAAGCCCCTGCTGTTGACGTGAAAGCACCAGAGGTCCCTGATGTTAGCGTTGGAGCGCCTGCTGTTGACGTGAAGGTACCGGAAATCCCGGCTGTGAGTGTGGAACCCCCTGCTGTTGACGTGAAGGCACTAGAAGTCCCTGATGTCAGCGTTGAAGCGCCTGCTGTTGAGGCGAAGGCGCCGGTAGTGCCTGGTGCCAGCGTTGAAGCCCCTGCTGTTGACGTGAAGGCACTAGAAGTCCCTGATGTCAGCGTTGAAGCGCCTGCTGTTGAGGCGAAGGCGCCGGTAGTGCCTGGTGCCAGCGTTGAAGCTCCTGCTGTTGAGGTGAAGGCATCGGAAATCCCGACTGTGAGTGTTGAAGCCCCTGCTGTTGACGTGAAGGCACCGGAAATCCCCTCTGTTAGTGTGGAACCCCCTGTTGTTGACGTGAAGGCACTAGAAGTCCCTGATGTCAGCGTTGAAGCGCCTGCTGTTGAGGTGAAGGCGCCGGAAGTGCCTGGTGCCAGCGTTGAAGCCCCGGCTGTTGAGGTGAAGGCACCAGAAGTCTGTGATGTCAGTGTGGAAGCCCCTGCTGTCGAGGTGAAGGCGCCGGAAGTGCCTGATGCCAGCGTTGAAGCCCCTGCTGTTGACGTGAAGGCATCGGAACTTGCGGCAGTCAGTGCTGAAGTTCCGACTCTCAACGTTCAAGCCCCTGCTGTCGAGGTGAAGACACCGGAAGTGCCATCATTGAGTGTTGAGACCCCCGCTGTAGAGGTTACGGCACCGAAGGCACCGGCTGTTGAGGTGAAGGCACCGGAAGCTCCTGCAGTCGAGGTGAAGGCTCCCGAGGCGGCGGCTGCGGCTGCCGTTACCGAGAAGACGGCGGCGGGTGTTGAGGAGGCCGTGCTGAAGGGCGCGGCGGCGGCGGCGGCAGCGGCGGCGACCCCGGCAGTCACGGCACCAAAGGCGACCTTACACAAGGGTTCCAACAGCACCTCCAGCAAGAAGAAGAAAAAGAGGAAGAACAAGAAGTAAGCGCCACGGCATAGAGATAAGCTAGTATGTGCGGATGCTCCGAAAGGAACTTCTTGTTGCTTCTGTTGTGGTCTGCATCGCCGGGACGGAACGGAAGAAGCCGGGGATCGTTTTTGTGGTACTGCTGTAGGTCTAGGGGTGGATGGCCCTCTAATGTCTTGAGAACGGCGGTTTCGTTTTCGCGCGGCTGGAAGGGGATTCCGCCAGAAGGCGCTTGGGTGTGTCCCTGACTGGTTTTCCGCTACTGCTCTTGCCGCACGGTGCAGGCAGGCATGATAACCGCCGTCACAATGGGATGGGGCGTTGGTGGGTAGACTTAAGCCTTAGGTTTGGGAAAGAGCGAGGGTGAGCGTCGACGTAGGGGAGGAGGGCGGAGAGAATGCTTGGCAGGCAAGACGGCGGCTTAATTGTGTTGTTACCGGGCGAAGCACAGCAGCAGTCGACGAGAGGTGTGTACGCCGTCAACTGCAGCAGTTTGCTACCAGGATTTCTTGACAAGACCACCAGTGTTGTACGTATATTTTGGATTTTTTTTTTTTTTTGCGCAGTGATGGCCACGGGATGAAGGGAACTGTTAAGGGTTGTTGTTGCGGTATTCGTAGTCGTTTCTCGTACTACAGTAGTCCCTGGACGTTGTCGAAACATTTTGTGAAGGGCACTTGAAGTTGGGAGAGGTTGTGGAGGTATCATGTGGGGCTACAATTGTAGGGTTTTCGTACCCCACGAGAGGGAAAATGTGAATCGTGTGCGCAGCACACAAGTGTTGTACCTGTAGAAAACCTTTTGTTTTCTTCCTTGGGTGTTGGCCACCGGCCGCACACACACCTCGAGCAGATGGCGTTCTAGACGCTGGTTGCGCAAATTTAGGGCGTGGGTGGCTAGGTAATTTCCGTCTTAAGGTAACGGCTCAACGTGTCGATTTTAGGAAACGTGTTCCCGCTTCCCCTATCGCATGCATAGGGGTTTTTCCTTTTTAGTCTGTTTCTTGTTTCGCATTTCTAGTTACTGTTAGACTCAGGTCCGTGCGTGTTCACGGAAGCAGGCATGTTCGGGGTGGTGATTGGTTGGCTCGATCGGAGGCGCCCGCACCGCCGTCGTTATTCACCACCACACTCACTACCACCGGGGCACTGCCAACAATTGTAAAACGTTCGGTTCGCGTAGCCACCCGCAGTTGGTTTTAGTTTGCCCTGTCGGCGTGCGATAGTTGTTTAGCTGGTTCGGGTATGTCTCCGTGCGCCCGACATTTTGATATATTTGGTGCGTACTCGATACATGAATGTGCATGCGGGACGTGCGTATTGCGTTTGTATGGGCTGTGTGTGGTTCGTTGTTTCTTTTTTACACCGCCTTCCACACTGCTGCTGCTGCTGACATGACATGACATGACAAACATGAAGAGGGGTTGTTTCCTTCGGTGTGGGCTTCCTATGGGTGGCTGTCGTTGATGAAGTGGCTGTCCCCTATCCCGCTATTTTGGCCCGAGTTCATCTCAACGCCGAGCGCCAAGCTTTGCGCGGCCACCCCACTTTTCGTGAAGTAGGAGTAGCTGGCATCGCCCCCCTCTGTGCTTTCCGAATATGCCTTTCCTTCGGTAGGTTGTTGTACGGTTGGGCATCGGCATGTCATACCTTCCTTCGGGGGCGGGTGTTTGTTACCATTCATGTACCAGCAAAAGCAGGTGTTTGTTGGATGGAAGTGTATTCACTCGGTCGGGACTGGCAAGATGACGGAGGGGGTGGGGATTTTGTTGAGAAGGGGGTATGGCACACAAGACGTAATCCAAAAGTTTGCATCATCAATGAACTCCTGTAACCCGCCTACGATCTGTTTGAGCGAGGTTTGGACGTAGGCCCTTCATACAAAATGTTCACACAATCTGACCTCTACACACATGGTCTGTTGGGATGGCGAGTTGCCCTCGACCTCGTCATGTGCGCGGACAATCGCACGCCGGCCAGCTTCATATCCTGTACTGAAAAACCTTGGGTGTTCGAAAAAGAAGTGCAGATAGATCTGGTATTTAGTCACGGGGGAAGGTTGCCGCCCCTCTCCTCTCCAACGGAAGAGGTCTCAGTCACTTTTCACGACCGCTGGACGCATACACCAATAAAACGCTCGAGATGTTCATGGGCAGGACAAGCATTGACATTCCACGATCAAGAACGGCACAATGTTACTGTTGCCGGAATTTGCGCCCATCTCAAATTTTGCTTCAGAACGTGCCGAGGTGCCAAGCCTGTCAATCGATTTCTCTTGATACTTGTGTGCCGCGGCAGGCGGGGTGAAAAAAAAAGTGAAAATAAATCCCGGCAGTGAAAACGGGGAAAGAAATACAGTGTTGAATTGCATCAGGGGCCAGCTCCACAAGGTTTCTTCGCTGTTGGTTTGCTTCCCGACGGTACTTTAGGCGGGGGGGGCATAGGCTGGAAATTCGCGAACGTAGAGAAAACCAATGTTACTTTCTTTCAAACTATTTCTGTCTTTCTGTCTTTCTGTCTCATCACATGACATGACATGACCAAAAAGGCGGATGGATAGCGTTGTAGAGACGGAGACAGACAGACCTCCAATATGCGATTGGGGTATGTAGATCATTTCGCGCAAGATCCAGGAAGAATAGGGTCATCATGTCGGATCGTCCGAATAACGTTCACCAGACAGACGCCCCCGCGAGGCGAAAACTACCAAAACAAGTCGAACACACATGCATATTGGAATATTGTTTACAAATCCGGGGTCAAACGTGAGTTTCCTTTGTTTTTTGCGGTTCACCTTTCTAAATGAAACTTTAATGATACGAACTGCTCCTCTCCCTCCGCTCGTCACTCACTTTCGCGATCAACCAAACAGACATACCGTGTGGAAAATTCCGCCTTCCCCAATATACTAGACAAACAAGCGTGATCGTACGGACCGCATACATCCAAAAGTATCGTATGTATATCATTCTAAGAAAAAGACTACTACTACACCTTCACACAAGCAGGGTGGGCAGGCACATTGGACACTACTCCCAAGAGACGGGAAGTCAACAAGATGAGACGAGCACACATTTTCTTTTTCAAATCAAAGCGATTGCTACGCCCGCTGCTACGCATGCATGCACGCGGAAAAGAACGATTTCATGAACCGAAAACTGAACAAGATATTTCAACCCACGCACGCGCGACTGCTCTTGCTTTGGAAGTGAATGCCAGGAGACCTCGCAGGACGCGCGACAAACTTGACATCAAAATAATGTACACGTTCCACAGTATTCGCGCAGGATAAAAATGTTCACATCCAACTCAAACAGCAATACCCAGCGGTGGAGAGGGGTGTAGGAGTGACACTCGAGTATTGTACTTCGTATGCCATTCGAAAGACGGGCGAAAAAAACGTAGAAAGGAGACAAAAGTGCTTTGAGCCTGTTTCGAGTGGAAACAAAACCTAGCACACGCCTGTGATACCTAAACCTACCTCCGCTATGCATGAAACAGCACCCCCACGCTCCTCCCATCCCATCCGTCGTCCCCTCCTTGGCGGCCACACAAGACTCTTATGAGTGAGTCCGTTGGACCGTTTCAGCAGCATCGTCACCAGCAACAGACAGCGACCGGATGAGTTCGCCCCAATCAACTACAGCAGGCTGAGAAGGCATACCACGACATACGCATCATTGACGACGACACACGCACACCACCGTGCTGTACAACCGCGCGCACGTGTTCACCGTACCGTACCGTACCGTACCACTACGGGACTCATACCCGAAACAAAACAAACGTACCGCTTGCACAACCACGCGCGAGGTCTCGCTGCCGCCGCCGATCTACGACATCTACGATCAATCCAACTACTGCGGTCTACTTTGATACACTAAATGAAAGTAAAGACGTACGTCGCCTAATCCGTGGCTTGGAGTTGTGACCCACATCACTCCCGTCAACTCGCTCGGCGCACGATGCAGGCAGTACACTACAGCAGCAAATTTTGAAGAACGATGGAAAACGACGCCAGACAGACACAGCAAGGGCCCCACCCTTGCCGCTGTGCACGCGGCACCTCGACCACGGACGATCACCCGCACAGCACAACACAGCAGCACAACACAGCAGCAGCAGCAGCAGCAGCGCAAAAAGATGCACCAACACCCAAGCGCTCAATGAAGCGAGATATCAAAAATACAAAAATCGAATCTGTGACGCACTGCGGCATGTCTTCGAATCGGCCAAGATCCTCTTCCGATCGCACTTACTTGGCACCCGGTGCTTTCTAGTAGCACGCGCGTGCGTTTTCTCGAACGTTCTTCACTCACATTACGACAGGCCCTGTAGGAAATGTTTCACCCGCTGCCCGACCAAGGCACCAAAATCAGCCTTGAAAGTCAGCGAGCTACTGCGTTGGCCCAAGCCAACATGACCGCCAACCCATTTCTGGGATATACTCAAGGCACTCAAGACCTTGAAACTTGCTCAGCAGTCATAGGGGAAAGAACCACCACGACTCAGTTGACACGGGAGTAGCGTGGGGGTCCAGTCCATAGTGAAAAGGCGAAGGGCAGTAGACAATGCAAACTACCCCCAGTCCTCGGCACTGCTGCTGAGCCCTTGTTTCCAGTGCATCACGGCGGATGCCCTCTACTCCCCGCCCTTCCTTCGTCGCTATCATACAACCCATGTATCGTGAGTTCACGTTTCAGATTTTCCGTGCCTCTTTACGCCATCCGACTACAAGAACGTTAAATACAACAGGAACAGAATAGCGTATGGTATGGGGAGGGGAGGGGAGGGTAGGGGAGGGTAGCAGCACCAACAACACGACAGAAAGTTCATAGACCATGAGACCAAAACCGCCCACAGCCGTACACACACTCCAAGTGGCCTACAATGCACCTGCTGTCCCGCAATATTGTGCCACCTTTCTAGCACCACCTCCGACAGCACCGGCTTTCTATCGTTCGCCAGTATGTTCTACCACAACACACAGAACACAACCGCAGCGCAGCCCTCATCGTAAGCCTCATGATGCAACAGAAATGCCCACCCCCCCCGCGCCTGCAACGCCTTGGACTGCGCCCATGCAAGTACACACCAGACCTATACAGCAGTACGCCTGAAGGAATGACCCATCCCAATCTCTCCCTTTGGCCCCTTTCACGTTGGAGTTCACAAGGCGGGAGGCATTCTCTCAGCCCTTGGCGATTCAAGCCCCTTTCCATCCCATTGGCCAGCCGATTCGGGGAGTAACTTCCACCACAGACAATGACTCGCTCACCCACCTCCCTCCACTCGACCTGAGCGACTGCAGCCAACAAAGCTCGAACGGCCATACACGCCACTCCAGTCTTAGCCCTTAGCCCCGCCTCATTTGTAAAGCTCGCCTGTCCCCTCGGTGTAACCGTCTGCCCTCCACACAAGGACAAGCAGCACCCCCCTCCCCCTGCTCTGGGCACAACGAGAAGAAGCAGCCACCCCCCACCGCCCCCCCCCTCGTCTCCAGGCCCCCTCCTCTCCTCCTCTTCCACCTGCCCGCAAATCAGCCAAACCACTTTAATTGATCACTATCCCGCTGAGGTGCCCGCAGATGTCCGCCCGGCAGGTGGGGCACCGCCCGGTCCCGAGCACCCCGGGGGGCCCGCCGATTCCCGCCGCCGCGTCCACCCCCACCGCGTCGTCCTCCGCATGCCGCACCACGCGGGTGTAGCACTGGCTGCACAGCACCAGGTGCTTGCAGGGGAACAGCAGCGTGTCTCGATCTCTCGAGAGACAGGCAACGCACTTGCGCGCTCGGTCCAGCTCGATCCTCAGGCGGGATAACTCCGCCGCAGCCAGCGAGTAGTCGTGGGACGGAGATGACACTGGCCTCCGTGAAGAGGCCATCTTGTTGGTAGTGGGCGGGCGGAAGGTGGACGGTCAGTCAGGCGCGGCGCAATAGGGATTCGAGTCGGTGGTGAAGAAGTGGGCGAGTGGGGGGGGGAGGAGGGTGTGCTCGTGTACACGCAAGCCGTAGTTGTTACACCATAGAGCTCGCCCGTGTTTGGGGACGGAGGTGAGGGGGTGTCCTCATACTCATGGCCGTTCATGCCGTAGTCGTTAGTCCATCGTCCTCGGGTCCCTACAAAGCCGGGTTGGGGGGTGGCAATGTCCGCTGGTGTCGGCAACTTGGCTGGCGTGAATATTGGATATCGAGTATTGAATATTGGACGTTGGATATTGGATATTGGATATTGGATATTGGAGACCTCAACAACGAACAGGCAAGACAGCAGCGATTGCTGCTCCAGCAGTGGATGGGGGACATATCTCACTCGTACGCACAGCTCTGCTTTGATCTATCCTAGTCGAGACAAGGGCGTTGTTGCCAAAACAATGCCTGCCCGGGTGGACAGAGTGGCGCCGAAGGCGGTGCATAGGAGGCAGGTTCGGGATGCGCAATAAAGCCGAACCGAAGAATAGTTGAAGCGATGGTGTGTACTTGGAATACACCGGGAACCCAACCCCAATTGCTTTCGGGTATTTCGGGCTGTGAACACCATGCGGGTGTAGCGGCTTCGTACGCCAATCACCGCAGCCGCAAGACATTGCTGCTGGCCGATCCTTGGAGGGGTGAAAATCAAGGGAGGGGGGCGTGCTCTTATGCTTCGCATGCTATCGCGGTTAGACCATTGACCACGCGTCCTTGAGAGGACGAAGTATTGTTCGCACAGGACCGATCACCGATGGCCAATCGGTCCTTCGCGAGTGAATCACATCAATGCGAGGTAAATACATTCGCGTATCCCACCTGCTCCTCCCGGGAAGACCTCTGGTGCCCCCCTCTGCCGGCCCCCCTTCCTGCCCGCGAGCTCCCCCCACC